CCTACAGAACAGCGCTACGAGGGCAACAGCACCTGGCATCAAAGCTCTCTATTTTGTGTCTTACCTTACCTTCTGAGATATCTTCTTCATCTTCGTATCCCCCTTAATCAGATCCTACCTCATTATCACGGGAAAGAACTCAAAATGTCGGAGCTCAACTTCCCCGCATCCTCAGCAGCTATGCTAGAATCCAGACTTCCATCATCAACAAACCCGTCTGGAACCTCACGGCCATTTGTGACACTCACATTTGCAACTTCACTTGATTCATCGCTTTCCCTGGCTCCTGGCGTCCGAACTCGACTCTCCGGGCCCGACTCAAAAGCAATGACTCATTATCTTCGTTCACGACACGATGCTATTCTCATCGGCGTTTCTACTCTCTTGGCCGATTCGCCAGCCCTAAATTGTCGTATAATCGGTGCTACAAGCCAGCCCCGGCCCATTGTCATTGACCCTCATCTCAGATGGGCTCCTAGCAGCTCCGACAAAGTCCTAGAGGTTTCTCGCCTCGGTAATGGTTTCGCTCCCTTTGTCCTGACTGGGGTGTCTAGCCAGGACTTACCTACTGAGAACGTTGTACTACTCGAGCAGCATGGCGGAAAGTATATCCATGTTCCGACTACACTAGCACCCAACGGACGCATGCGCTTTGATTGGCATGATGTATTCAGAGTCTTGCATCAAGCAGGCCTCTTCAGCGTCATGGTCGAGGGAGGCGGCCAAATTATCAACTCCCTGCTTGATCCTCGATATCACGAATTAGTTGACTCCGTTATTGTTACTATTGCACCAACCTGGCTTGGTCAAGGAGGCGTTGTCGTGTCGCCAGATCGCCTTCAGGATCCAGCAGGTGTTCCGATTCCTGCTGCACGGCTATCGAATGTCTCATGGCATCCTTTTGGCGAAGACGTTGTCTTGTGTGGCACGCTTCACGCCTAGTGCCTAAAGCTAGGCTATATATATATACAAGCCTCTGATTATGTTTCAGCCATCCCTCTGGTCTTCTCAACATGTATCTGGGAAACCCTCCTTCTCCTTGCTCACCTTGTTCTCTTACCCCAAACTCCTATCTCTCCCTGTAATCCTGTACTATCATAATTCCTGCTGTCATTCACTGGCGCATTGAACTCAAATGCCACCAAGTACGATATGGACATTACAGCGGCAATAACCTTAACGAATTTCTGTTCATCTTTCTCCAACATTGCCAAGCACGCAGGATTATGAGTGCATGCTTCTCAAACATGACCCATCAACCTGACTTCCAAGGTCCGAAGCGGATAGTAGGCAATCCCAGTGACCACGAAAGCCGATTCAAAGCCCAGGTCACCAATTCGCTCTCCAATGGGCCCAGTGAACCACGGCGTGTCCATTGACGGGACCACCAACCCAAGACTGACCAAAGATGCTCCGATAGCCGCGAGTCCAGTTGGAAGCCGACGTGCTTGATTCCATATCGCGGGTTCATAAGAAAGGTAGTTCATCTTTCGAAAGACTATGAGTTCTTCAATGACAATGGCATCAAAGCATCCCGCCCAATAACCAATCACAGACAGAAAGTTAACAAGGGACTCCTCCCATTTAGCAGCCGCATAGATCGACATTGGGATCATGATAGCCAGCGTCGCGACGATGAACAAGAAGCGCGGCACCTTGGCAAATGCAGGAACAAGCATCTGCAAACACAAGGCGACTGAATAACTGGACAGGACCATGTTACCAACAACACTCAAAGCGAGAACGACAAGAACGAACTTGCCAAAACTCCCCGCTGGTGCGAGCATTTCAGCCATGACGCCGCCGATTCCATAATTATCCCAAGCCGTTTGCCATGGCTCGACATTGGGAAGAGCACCACCAATGGCAGCTCCAAGAATGAGCAGAGGTGTCGATGGGGTGATCAGGCCAAGGTACACGTACATAAAGATCTTGAGCCTGTGAATTGGGTGAAGGTTGTCAGCTTTGATTTATCACAATACAATATCGAGGAATCCTTACTTGGATGATTTGGGGTCGTGATAGACGGTAAAGTCGGAGACAGTCCCGCCAAAAGTCATGAAATACCCTGCCATTAGACTTCCATATCCGACGACACTTTTCACAGATGCCGGGTCATGGTCAGCCTGGTTCATCAGATGCTTCCCGCCACAGCCGACGGCAATGACAATGGCAAGCAAGTTCGGTAACCATTGCCATCGTTGCCAGACGTGGACCGCTCGATATCCTAGGAACGCGAGACAAAAACTGAGAATGCAAACTATGCCGATGCCTACGTTCACACTTATATTGGCCTTCTCATTCACAGCTGCGATGGCCTGTCCGCTTACGACCGACCCCACGAGCGTAAACCCTGTTACCGTTCCAGCGTTGAGCAGGATGGGAATGATTCCAAGATAGAGCCTGGCAAACCGCAATGTCAGCAATCTCCTTGCAATGATCTTTGAAGTCTTGAAACGCACCCGAAGGAATATCGAGCCTGTATCATTTGTCTCATCCCGGTCTTGCATCCACCGATACTGACAACAGCCGGGGGGATGCATGTTACAATGTTGAAAAAGATGATTATCAACGACACATCTCGCAATCCTAGTCCGTATACAGCCGTGCCGAGAGCACCAGTTGGCAACCTGAGATATTATCAGATATATGCGATCATCAGTAGGTTGGGTTATGCCACCAACTCACGGTAGAATACATAACAGACAGGTGAAGAACACAGTAAAAAGGTTGCTGTGCTGCGTTTGGGTTCTTTCTTCGATGGGCACTGGCCGAACCCCGTTCTCCTCGACACCAGCGTCAAGCACTCTCTTATACCACCTCGAGAATACACCAGTCTTTGCGTTCCTAGCAGTAGAAACACTGGTACTTTCTCCATTTTCGGTATTGTTTCTGGCGTGTTCGGATACATGGAGCTCTTGGTTGGCTTCCAAATCCTTGAGAACTGCCATTGTGGTGCTGAAGATCAGTAGTGCAAAACCTAAGGTGTGCTGAACGTGCAAAGAAGGACGTAAGTCTCTGACAAAGCTTAACTTGCTCTAGTATCATGATATGTCAAGCCCGACCTTAAGGTAACGAAGAAACATGTACCTCTTGAATGCGCCGCTCGAATCTGTTTGCCTACTGTAGTCTACACAATTCGACAGCCGTTCCATAATAGGCTCAATGACAGCCCCTAGACGTTGTGATCCTTTCTTTGCAGTTGACCTGGCCACAGCCATCAGCCAATGATCTTGAAAAGCCAAGATTACACCATCAAGGAGTGCAATCGGATGCGGGACCGGATTTTGCAGCTTTGTTCCCAATTGATGTGTCACAATAAATGTGGCGTGCTGGGATATATACTACTATCTAAAAGTAGGCTGCAGTGTGCTTGTTCTAAACAACACAACAGCCATGTTGTTATCTGGGGCTGAACCGAACCAACTTGGCTGATACATCACTGTACTTGGGGCTGAGGTATGGTGTGCTTAGTTGGTTCGAGCGGCTAACCAGATAGACCCATGACAACGACTGGCTGCGGCTTGTGCTGCTTGTGCTGCTTGTCACTCACATGCTCATCAGAGTCAGCCATGAAAATTTCTCTGCTTTCATAAGGGCAGGGACGGGCCAACACCGAACTGGCCCGAAACCTTGACGATCATGATTCTGCTCTAATGCAGATAAAAGTGCGGCGCGGCGGCCCGTGTCCAAGGTGGCTGTGATGAAACATGGGCATCAAACACTCGCAAGAATCTTGACAGATACAACATTACAATGCTGGATACTGTCTTGCTTTTTTTCTTATATACCTGCGACTCGTATGGAATGCCAATAATTGGGTACAGAGCGGGTCGGCGTCTTATGGATGCGGATCAAGGACAACTCTCTATATGATAAAAGCCCGCGGGCTTTTGACAGCAACCACTCCGGCTTCTCGTAACTACACAATACGTACAGTATGTTTATGCAGCTAGCGGGGATAGAGTGGAGATGTAGAATGTTTGTTTGATCCCTGTTACGTCGATGCAACATGATGTGAAAGAAGATGCAGCTTTCGCATCCTTCACCTAAATTTCATTACCAGGGCTGGTCCTAGAACGCGCCATTTAGGCCGAAGTCCTGCCTTTCTTGCCTAATGATGGGTAGATTACAAAAGAGGTATGCCAATCGACCTTGCAAGGATTCTATAGAGCAGCCAAGCAAAGATCTCACGTATCGCTGTTGCCTTGTTTTCTTGGCTAGCTTGTTATCTCCATCCACTATACATATTGTCACCATAAACAGACATGGTCCTCTGTAATAGTGTAGGAACGGGGCGTTAGTGAGTGGTTCCTCTTCCTGCACTAAGTCGACAACGAGTTGTGACCACAAAGCTGACTGAAAGATGCATTACTGCCTCCATAGTCCTGCGCTTTGACTGGACTACCAACGAGCCGGGCTGAGGTAACACAACACAAGCGAATGACTCTGCCGAGATGCCCCACCTCGACAAGGGTCTTCGAAGATTCCATCAAGAGCCAATTGGAACCCTTCTTGAGTAACAGGGTCCTGTGGATCGGCTAAAATAGACTACCAGTCTTGGGGAAATCGCGTTAGCCATTGTGACCTCTGCAGCCGGCTTCAAGCATCTTAAATGCAGAGAATAGGTAAAGGTGAAGTAAGCCATGGGTACAGCTCATCCAAGGGGAAGAGAGCCAGCATTATCACATACTATAATGTGCTGGGCAAGGGAAAGTAAAGCGCACTTCCAGAAATGGCAAAAGTTTGCGACTTTGTTGGTGGTCATCAATAGACACAACCCAGTATCTGCCAGAGTTATGTTGCAGTGAAAGAGTGTATGTAGTATCTGCACTTATTTTCTGGTATCCATGAGCACATGGGACCTGTCCTGCTTCCGAACAGCATGTGAGGATCGGCCGGCCATCGCAAGACACACTGAACATGATTTACTTGATATGGTATACCTGATCCAACATGTTATAGTACTCTTCCAAGGTGTTGGGAGGGATATCTGGTCGCTATTCCGAGTCGCTGTTGACAAGTGCCTCAGCTGCGAGACTTCGCGGTTTGATGACACAGTCAAAGTGCTCAGGGTGACTAGCAGCAAATACCATTGTCAGCCATGTGTCAACCACATTATCAAATACTTGTGTGCATGTTTCCAGTTTGGCAAGGGTGCAGAAGTATCGAGGGGCAGTGGGGATAGCTAAAGACAGGGGGAGTCAACATACCAGGTTCCTCCATTGGTAAAACGGACTCGGGGCTCAATGAGCTTCCCATCTGAAGACATCTTTTTACAAAACCGGAGTACGGACAACATCGTTGCTACCATGATCCAGACACTATTGTCGGCCAGAAACCGACCGACACAGACCCTAGTGGTGATTAGTTCGTTCTAGATTTCCAAAGCCGTGACCCGAGTCTCAGTTGGGGTTGGCCTGTCACGTACCGGCGCCCAAATCCAAAATTGCCAACAGGAAACGGTTCCCCAGCTTCATATCTGTCGGGGTTGAAATCGTGGGGGTCTTTGTAGACCCGCTCATCATGAGCCATGGCATAAGCGTTGGCATAGACCACAGTCCTGGTGCTTATCAGATACCCTCCCACCTTGTAACATCACTATGATGACAGCATCGTAAGGGAGCGTCTTACCCTGTAAATCATCAGTTAAATTAGACAAGCAGCAACAAAAATTTGCCTCAGATATACCTTTAGGAATGTGCATGCCCTTGTAGATATCATCGTGGAGCGACTTGTGTGGGATCCCTGCCGCGCATTAGTAGCCATTGCAAGGTTTCTTCATTGCCAAACATGAACAACTCACCTAGAGGAGCCAGTGGCGACCAGCTTTGTGAAGATTCCTGTCAGTTTATGTTTTGTGTCAGTGATTGGCCAAAAATGCGGCGTACCGATAAATCTCCTGGACAACATGCTCGATATAAACCAAAGCGGGCCGGTCCGAGAAGTCGGGAAGTTTATCAAATCCAATCAACGTATCAAGCTCTTGCTGTGCCTTGTCCTGTATTTCCGGGTGAAGAACCATGTTGAGAATAAAGATTACACATGTAGCCCATGTCTGAAAGCCACGTTATTAACTTTCAAAAATCAACTATTATGGAGATAGACTCACCGTATCTGCTCCCGCGATAAAAACTGCCCCTGCCGCCCCTTTGATATCATCAAGGGACCATTGTTGCTCCTGGCCGCGGGACTCCTTATCCTTATACTCACGTAGGAGGTTGTGTGCTAGAGATGTGTTTCTATGATGGTCATATCTGTGCTGCAAAAGACGTGAGTCACACGGCAAGACGGGGGATAATTCTTGAGATGTTTTCCCATGTCACCCACCACCCTTCAACTCACATATTCAGCTTGTGCAGCAGCGAATGGGATATCGTGAAGCTTTTTAATAGCCCAGCGCCACTGCCGGGCAAATCGCAAGGACCAGTCGCGGACAATACAGTCGGGGAGGTAGCGAACTAAACTGGCTCCTTAGCACAATTTTCTAAAGATTTCGGGTCCATCGTGTGGATATCTCGTACCGAATGGAACTAGATCAACAATACTATTGGCGGGAACTCCACCATTGCCAGTGGCATACATGGCATCGTTGGCGATTTGGATGTAAGGGTCATCGTCCTCGAGCACTTGAGTGCCATAGCTGACTTGCAGAACGATGGCAACCGCAAGCCTACGTAACGAGGTTTCCCAAGTTTCAGGCTTCTTGATTATATTTCGAATCGTTCGTCGGGCTTCTGTTATCTGCAGGCTGTGCCATTGGCGTACATTTGTGTTGCTGAACGAGGTCTGGAGTAACTTTCTGTGCATTTGCCAACGTTCTCCAAAAGGAAGAAAAGTCAGGGTCTTTCCCCATCCCATGCTATCGAAGACTCAAATGAGCAAAGTATTCGGATCACGGTTTCTTCTAGATAGTAGCAGGGACCGGCTTACACTTCCAGCAGCGTAAATTGGGGTCGGTCACAAAAGTTGGCGCCTTTCTTGTCCAAGATATCCCTGGCTACATCGGCGCTATTGAGCACGACTGTAGAACGACCCAGGGATCTGACATGTATGATGTCCGAATCTGTTGAAGGTAATGTTAGGGGCAAAATATTCGTCTGCATGTACAGAGGCCAAACTGACTGTATTCTCTCGACCATTTCGCGTATACTGCTGCCGCATTCTCCTTGGGTATAACACGGAAATGGCCAAGAAGAAACTCAGAAGGCGGACCAGGTGGTAGTGGCAGCGTATGTTGAGAGCGCCAATGGGCCCATGCAAGAAGCAAAATAGTGGCAATGGCAAGGGTCAGCCCAGAGAGAGCCTGAGATGGGTAGTGCTCTATCATGACTCGAGCTTTGAGAAAGTGAGTTCGAGTTTGAGTCACTCTGAGTGAAAGAGATGAGGATTTCTGGTGAGAGTTGAAGTTATAATTGTAGCAAACAAACCGGGGAAGGAAGCAGATGTTGAGCTAAATGAAAGAACAGGCAATGACCTCAAGTTGCTTCACTGAATCACGCACGACATGACCTCAGGCATATTCCCAACAGGGACAGAGCAACCAACTATGAACTATCCACAGCAAACGCTGTTGTTGGCTTTCTGATGTATCATTCTTAAGACCAACGGGCAAGGCAGCGGCGGTCGAACAGGGGGGAATGAAGGAGAGGCCAAGAAGCTTTTGGTTACCGGTGATGAACAGACTGATCTTCTTTTCCGTCCCCACCTTCCCATGTGCATGCATTGACCCTGATTGCATGAGAGATAAGAAATTGCTAGAGCTGTAGTCTTCATATTACCCACCAGTTCCCAAAGGACTTGGCTGTCGTGTTAATACAGAAAAGGCTTTAGCCGATAATATGACGCAGTTTGTGGATAAGTGATTTAGCCTAAGGAGCATCAGCTTGATCCTTCAATGTCAGTTGATATGATGCAATGGAATGTTTGTCTTGTTGTCTCGGTTGTTGTCACATTTTGTCTGCGGCAAGACAATTCCCACGATGCAATTGGCTACTTTTGTTCCCTCTACAGAACCTCGGTTCCGTTCCTTCGGGCCCAGATCCTGGCTGCGTTGCCTCGTTACGCGAAAGTCAGAGCATCCACCACGAGCTGCAACCCCTGGGAAACACCTGAGCGCACCATCTCGTTTAGTAAAGTTTAGTAAACAAAAAGAACGAAAAGGGCCCCCTAAGCCAGCACTTAACTTCCTTCTAAGCTAAGGATGTAGTTGCTGCAGCTGTACACGCCCTCAGGGAGCAAGAAAACACCGAAACTTGACGTAAGGTGACAAAATACTTAGCAAAAGGTATCCTAAGTTTATACTAAATTTAGGCACAATTTATGCTAACTTACCTAAGTCTTTCTGTCATTTAGGGTCGAGGTCCTGAGTTTTCTTTCCTCCCCTAAACAAGGTCGTTGACGAACTGATTCATGTGCTGATTTAGCTACGGACCGGCGGCTCAGAAATAGAGGATGGGCGAGACAATGTGGTTCAATACCGACGCTAAAGTGAGGAGCCGGCACTTGTCTTGTCATAACTGTCTTTGGTCTGGTCTGTTGCATATGCACCTGTAATCAGGCCTAGGTTCAATAGTGCCTTTAGACACTCAGTAAATATGGGTACATGTACAGCTCATGATGCTCCATGAGTTGCGGAATTGTCTCTTCTGATGATGCTCGAAATAGAATACGCTCCTGGGGACGTGATTGGAGGAAGCAGTTCCTTCTCAATTTAAAACACTTTCCATCATCGCTGCCCCATTTTACGTATCAACGAAGGCTGTATGAGGGACAAGAAGGCAGGACAAAATGGAAACAACCCCACACCAAAACGTGCTGACTTTCACCTTCCACTTGCGCATGCCCCTCAGCTCTCTAACCGTCCTCGGGCAGGTGGGATCCATCTTGTCCACATGACTTGGGTCTCGACAACAGCAACTCAAGTTGACAACTTCTTCACCGCAAGCTGAACGTGTCAATCAATATTGTGAACAAACCGTCTTAAAGTCTGCGGCGTCACCGGCAAATCCTTGCGCGTAAACGCTGAGAAAAGCAAATAAACGAACTTGTTTCAACCATTGCTTTTGCGCTCGGCCTCTCTCTGACGCTACCTACAGACACGAGGGCCGTCGGCTTCCAGCTGTTAATACCAACCCCTGACGTGACAATTCAACTACGGGGTACTGATACTACATCCTCAACTACACACAGACAGCATCATATTGCGAAAGTAACACCAGCCTTGATTCAGCCGCAATAACCCGTTCTGCAAATCTCTTCCAACCCACCTCTACGATGGCTTCTCACGCTAGCACTCCACACATCACCATTCTGGGCTCTCTCAACATGGATCTCGTTTCCTATGTCCCACATCATCCCCTTCCTGGTGAAACCCTCACCTCAAACCATTTCAACACTTCGCCAGGCGGTAAGGGCGCTAACCAAGCTGTTGCTTGTGGCAAGCTCTCTCGAGACTCGGACCTGTCCAATCCTTCGGCTGTCGTCTCTATGGTGGGTGCTGTTGGCGCCGATCCTTATGGCACCCTCCTGCTTGACAGCCTTCGCTCTTTTGGCGTTGCTGTCGATTCTGTAGCCATCCGCCAAGACCAGAAGTCTGGCCTAGCTATCATCATTGTGGATGAGCCCTCTGGCCAGAACCGCATTATCTTGTCTCCTGAAGCCAATCACTCTCTTCAGCCTGCTGAGTTTGAGGCCCTTCCTGGCCCCCGTCCTGACCTCCTGATCATGCAGCTCGAAATTCCTTTCGATACTGTCATGCAGGCTTTGAAAGCTGCCAAAAAGGATGGTGTTCCCGTACTTCTCAACCCAGCACCGGCTCAGCCCTTGCCTATGGATGCCTACAATGGGCTGGCCCATCTCGTTGTTAATGAGACCGAGGCCGCCATTCTTGCAGATTGTGCTGAGTCTGAGCTTGATGACCTTCAAGGCTTGGACCGCATTGGCCGTGTCTTCATTGATCGCGGAGTCCACAATGTCATCATCACCCTCGGAGGTCGTGGTGTCTATTTCGTCAATAAACAAGGCCAGAGCGCATTGCTTCCAGCGACTAAGACAACCGTAGTGGACACCACGGCCGCTGGTGATACCTTTGTTGGTTCTTACGCCCTGGCCGTTGTAGCCGCCAAAGATGGCCAATTTAATATTGAAGCAGCTGTCGCGGCAGCCAATCGAGCAGCTGCCTTGACCGTTGCGCGAAAGGGTGCTCAGATCTCCATCCCCTGGAAAGACGAACTTTAGACAAGGTAGCAATACCGCTTTCTTCGTAGACAATCCAACAAAAAGTATTCGAATCTCACTACGTGTACAGTTTCTCTATTTCGTCTGCTACCTAGGTCAGTCTAGAACCATGACGCCCATCCCCATTTGCTTGCATCCTTTTTGCCTCTGCTACGCGCTGGCGATGCTACTCGGGGCTCCTCCACTTCCTGCTCCCTTGTCGTTATGGACAAACCCGCCATCAAAGGTAGCAAGCCCCTGAGGGTGTCAGCGCCGAGTGACCGCCTCTTCCATAACGTGCTGCTGTCAGATTTGCCAGAAAAGGTCCTTCGGCCTTGAGTAGCAGGAACATCACTTCCATCTCGGCTGCGCTCTTCTTTTGGTCGTGTATGGACCGAATCGTTCACCCCCGCGCCCCTAAAGGTTCTCGGCCCTGGCAGACCTTCACGACTCTGCCTTGACAAGTAGCTTGACGCATAGCTACCACACCTGGACGACCCTTGCCTCAACCTCTGATGAGATTGAGAGGGCGTTTCTCTATTATGGTGATCGACCTCGGAGCAGCGTCGCTGAAGGCTTGCCTTTCTGAGGGGAATCCGAGGCGTAGGGCTATGATTCCAAGTGGACTTTCCATGTGTGCCATCGCCAGTTTTTTCTGAATGTTTCTGTTGCAAACAGCATGTCTGCTCTGAATCCCTGGGACCGTATTTTGCTGCTGCAATTTGTGCCATTACCTTCCTGGCGCTCGTGGTTCCCCAGTGCCTTTCTACCAGTGGCAATAGTGGGTTGGATCTTGAAACCGGAGGGGGAGACCAAAGCGACATTGCATTGTGGAGTTTCACGGAGGCTGTGGCTACCGTCTCAATCTTGCTTTGTATGCTGAACATGTCGTCCTCCACAATTCCCATGTCTTGACAAATGGGAAACGCCGAGTTTCGATACGACAGCCGCACGGTCATGTAGCTCACGGTAGAATCACCCAACTCCTCCTTAAGCGCTTTTATCAGGTTGTCCGATTCTGACCGTGAACAATTCCGTCTGCATCGCCGCATAGCCTTTGAGACACGGACCTGAACTTGAGCTAGAAGAAAGATGCTTGATCCGGGGCCCAAGCGGTGACTATTCCCGTAAATCAGCGAGTGTCCTAATCAGTGTGTCAATCTCGTTCGTCGGTGTACTTACATGGGAAAAGGTTGTTCCTGAAGAATGCGAATAACCGAAGATTCTTCCGTTGGCAGAATTTGGACGTCCAAATCGCCGAGGCCAATATCATCGCAAATCTCCCCTGCTGTGTATGCCGTCAGTACCTGTTTGTTTCAGAACGGGGCTTTCATGCGTACTCTCTTGGTCATATTGTGTCAAATCAGCAAGATCTGTAAACAGATCTGGCCGCTCCTAACGGGCCCCTGGTTGACATTTCATCGCACTTTCGGGCCAACGTCTGACTGAGACCTCGATAGCCACCCAAAGTATATGGCAACCTTCTTCGATGGTGGTGGCCTCAGGTGTGATGGTAATCTTTGGTGTTGACCAACTTTCTAGCCTTGGCCGGGGTAGTGTCTTGAAGGACTCAGTCAGTGCCACAGGTGGACTTCTTGTGAATAGTGGCGACTCCTCTTCTCGGCTTGTTGCATGAGGCGCAAGCGATAAATCTGCATTGGACAGAAAAGCCCTGTCATATATATTGGTCAGAGGTTGGCGGACCTTGACTAGACACCGCATATCATACACCCCAGGCAATCCACTTGATATCGGGGAGGAAAATGGGTGGTCTTGTCCCAGTTGCCCCCCGGGCTCTGGGCGCATCTGTCTCGTCTTCCTGACTGATAGCTGGGGTGAGGGCGTGATCCCCAAGCGTAAGGGTGCACTATCATCATTCTGCACCTAGCATTTGGCTTGGCGCAAGGCTGGACTGCCTTGTTCTCCCATACCTGGGTCATCATGTGGCCATCTTAAGTTTTCTTTATCTGCATCTGCTTGTCCTGGGTTGATCTTGCGCCTCTTGGCGACTGTAAGAGACCCGTCCCCCTGAATTGACCGCCTGTGTTTCGAGCTACCTTGGTTAGATTGATTTGTCGTATGCCGCTTATTCATGTTCTCATCAGCTTTCAC